ATCCAGATCTCAGACAGCAACATTAGTTGAGTGGTTAGAAGTCTGTGGGGAAATAATTGCATCCTGGGCAGACAGTGCCCCAGTGGAACGTGCAGGAGATCATGTACCCTCATCCTTTAGTCCTTCCAGTCAAATACTGTCTGTCATTTAGGTTGTGCAGCATGCCAAAAAAACCCAGACCTCCAGGTGAGAGTGTAAAAAAGAGGAAGTGGTATAGGCACTGCTCGCTGCTGAGAACTGCTGATTTATTTGTCAGCAGCACAAAGCAATATTTCCTCTGTTACAGTTCTGACTGCACTGCCATATCATGAGTGGTACAGACAGTTTCTTGCTGGTTGAAGCTTGCTGGGCAAAAGGATGAAAGAGGAGATGCTTTTGGATCTTTACTTGTCCAATAAAGCAGCGTGCAGACATTAGAAATGCAGCGCTCTATGCTAATTTCTTAAACTTGACTTGTCAAGCGAAGGAGGGCTTGTCACGCACTGCCGTAGGTTGGTATCCTCTTGGCTCCATACTCGTTTCGAGTACCACACAAAGAAAGTGCAGGATCTGAGACTCGATGTCTGTTAACATGTGGCTTTACTATATTTTGTCATAAAGCATAAGGCAATAGTTTGAGCTGGTGCCCGCCCATCAGGAATGCTGCTTGCATAGCTCAAAAAGAGAAATCATAGAGTGTCTTTGGAAGAGGTCTTCAGGTTAGAGGATGGGGAGGGCCGTGCAGAGGAGTGGGGTATGGCACTGGGGCAGGTGAAGCATTGCACTTGTAACTGAGCTCTGCAGCATGGGCGTTTCCCCCAGATTTGGTCCCTGGTTTTCTGTACCATTTAGGGTGGGGACTCCACCCCTTACTAAAGTCTCCAGTATCTTTTCTCCTGCTGGCAGGACGACACAGCTGAATGAGGGAGCGGTAGGGTGTCTTTTGGGTAGTTCTGTAGGATCAGTCCTATTCGGTGTATAATCACGGACGTTTCTGGTAGCAACCCTGTTGCCTCCTTGCATGGAAAACACTTGTACAACGTTTGCAAAGGCTGTGTTTTAGCTACCCTTTTAACAGAGGGTACATGCAGCCAGGAGCTGTCACAAGCTGTTAGCAGGCTTCACACGGCAGGTGCTTCTGCAGTCCCAGGTGAAAGCTTGCGTACTGGGCATCACTGTGCAAGTGTACATGCCGTAGCTCTGTAAAATGTTAACTGATTTAAATAACCACGCATCCTGAAAAGGCTTATACCAGAATAGTTTTGCATCTTGAGAAATGTTTTGTCCGTAACCTGCTATCGTTACTGTAATCAGTAGTAGGCTCCCTCAGAATACAAATTAAAAACAAGCTTGTTCTGCACTCAAATGATGGTTCGTGTTTTGGGGAAATGAGTATGAGATTCAAACCCATTTCTTAGTATGGGTCAAAATCTGGCCAAGCAGCTCTTTCCAGTCCCTCCCTGCTGGGACAGTCAGGCTCACCTTGGGCTGCCAGTGCTGTCGAGTAGCCCAGCCCTGACATGACGCTGGAACAACGGGTTTTCTCAGGAGGACCAGACCCTGCAAATAAATACCACCATGAATAGCTTTGCTGCGTTTCCTGAGCTCGGTTTTGAATCCATGGGATAGCTTCTCACTCCCCTGTGAAGGGCTGAGGACAACAGAAGAGAAAGTGGCTTTGTGTGCGATGGAAGAGATCCCTAAATTAGCACGTGACCCAGGGCTGCACCTGGGGCTTGCAGGTTCGCAGAAGGTGCAGGGCAGGAAGGGCGAAGCATGAGCGAGTGGATGCATGTAGCTCCATCAGATCCTGAAAGCCTCGGAGCTCCTGTCAGGTGAAAGCAGCTGCTGGTGGAAAAGCTCTGTGAGACTAGGCTGTCCTATCTTGCCGGGGCTCGGTCTGCTCACAAAATAGTCCTTTAGGGCCTAAAGCCACCGCTTCTTCCTGTTACGCTAAGCAATAATGGCAAGAAGTAATTTCGGTGTTACATTTCTATTGTTAAATTTGAAGAATAATAGTTTCCAGAAAAGATACAATGTTCACAATGTTTTCTGTGAATTTTTGAGGTGTCTTGGAGATACGGGAATGTGGTGGGTTTTACCACCTTCAGTGGAGGCAGCCTTGAAGAATAGCTTCAGAGACCTTTGTGGTTTCCTAAAGAATTTTGTAATGTTTCTTCGAATTTATATGTAATGGAAAAACTTGAGAAGTGGAAGAAATTGCAGTCTAATTTTGTGGCTCAAAAAAAAAAATCTGAAATTTCATCATCAAAAGTAGTCCTTGGGTAAAACCTTAAATATGTGGATAAGTTGTATCCACGTGCATCTTTGCAGCCTTTGGAAAGAGCTAGGATGCTTCCAGTGCAAGACATCTCCTTGTGCTGGGCTGGAGGTGTTTGGATTTCCTGTATAATGTAGCAGGAGAAAAGCTTATTTTGACAACTTTATAAGCTGTTGAGCTCTTGTCTTCAGTGGACTGCGAGATGGATACTTGTCATGAGATCCTCTGTTGAGTATAAAAGACAAGAATGTGGAAACTGTGTTCCTGTAACTTCACTGCCTGCTAAGCAGGTGGCTCGTCACAGACCCCGGAAGTGGGCAAGACAGAAAAGAGTGTGGCTAGCGAAATAAGAAATAATAAGGGATAAAGGGTCTTGGACTCCTCAGAATAATACCTGGGACATTCAGCCCTATGGCTCTTATAGCCCGGGTCTTAGTTCATGCAAGGTAAACTGGGTAACTTCATCTGGCTTGGTGTTTTGTTGGGTTTTTTTTGCATTTACGCTTCATTTTCATCCCGTTTGTGGTGTTTGGGCTTCACTGACAATGCTTTTTTGGCAATTAGAGTTTTCACAGGAAAATGCATTAGAGAGTCAGGAGAACTGGGTCAGGTTGTGTCATGTTTTCTTTAGCAGAAGACATGGGTTTCTTTTGCAATGGAGTGTAGTACTTTGCTTAAAGAATGTGTTGTGGTGTTTTCTGGTACCTTTGCTGTTGAGCTGGAGGATCTTGTCAGGCCTCAGTTCTGTTTGGTACATGACACGCACACAAAAGCAACCTTTTGCTTCCCAAAATATGAGAGGTTTTCTTTCTGTCCAGTTTTACACAGCTGTAGCAGTCATCCTTCTATAGAAGCTGTTGACGTGGGTACAGATAGTTCAGTCTTAATAAGCTGATTATATTGCATACAACTCGTGCTGACTTTGGTTTTTTACCCTGTTGAACCCAGGACTATATAAAGGAAAGATGTTTTCATGCCAGTTTCTGTGGTGTAAGTTGTACTTTTATGTTCAACATGATGCCATTGTCCATAGGGATGACACTGACCAAGTCCTTTTCCCGAGAATACAGAAGTGATGATGTTTTAATGCAAACTGGCAAACTTGGGACTTAATGAATGTTGATTCCTAGGAGGTCACTTAGAGACATACCCTTTAATTAGGCACCTGCAAAATCTAAGATTTTCAAGGTACAAGATCATCTGTATTTTTTGTATCTTGATTTTAATGGGGTGTAGGACTAGTGCAGCCTGGTAAAATAGTTTGGCAGTTCACCCACCTGTGGACAGTTGATTTTTAAAATGATCCTGAGAGGTGCTGCAGGAGTGCACCAAAGGGAGAGTGTGTAGAAATCGGCATTTGTATTTGGTTTACCATTGTGACCCTAACTGAAAGCAAGCAGTTTCCCTGTGCCAGGGAAGGAAGGAAATGTGCTGTTTAGGGTGTTGAATGACATGAGGATCTTCCACACAAACAGTGACATGTGTTGTTCTTGCTGCAGCCCAAGGCAGGCATCTGTTGGCTTTATTAGCGGTGTGTGCACTGTGCTGACCCTGGTCCAAATGCCGTTAATCTGGCATGCATCCAGGCCTCGGTGGCAAAGAAGAGGAGCCTTTTGTCTCATTGCCAAGTCCAGGGGGAACCTTGGAGGAAGGTGTCCTTCCCTTTGGCTGTTCCTCTGTCCTTAGGTATTCTTGTTTCGTGGTGCTAAGAATGTACCAACTCTTGCAGCATGGCTAGTTGATGTCTTCCTGTTCTTGCTCTCTTCCCTGCCCGCCCCCCCCCCCCCCCTTTTTTTTTTTAGTTTTCTTTTTTGTCTTGGTAGACTAGTGCAATGCACATGCTTCAAGTGACCAGTTGCTTTTGAAGGGGGCATCCCACTGTACTTGTTACCATGGAATTTATTACAGAAACACTATATATAAGTCATTTTGAAATTACCATCAGTTGTGGCATTGTTCTAGCTGCTTAGATAGCAAGTTTAATCACCTGGAAAATGGGCAGCATGGAGATACTTTCCATGCACTACAGCCCCACTTACCTTATTTGCTGCTTGGAGCTTTCTAAGCCAAGGGTGCGCCCTGTGGCTGGGTAAATGCCGGCAGTCCCTGCTAGACATGGAGAGGGCTTCCTTTGTTCTCGGCTGGCAGAAAGTCTCTACTTTTCTTTGCTTTAGTGTTCCCATCTGGGGACAGTGATGGTGACAGACATCGCTTCAGTAACTTCAGTCCTCCAACAAAAAGTGCCAGGAATCGCTCAGTGTCAGTAGCTCAGTATCGGGAAAGGTGGAGGCTTCACTCATTAGAGATCACAGAGCCTAGAGAGAAGAGCCTGGAAAACGGACAGAAACATGGTGCTCTTCATTTCTGATTCACAGTGGTTTCAGCATGAAAAAAAAAGTAGGGGGAATAGTAATGTGCACACTGTACTTCTGCATGTCACTGGAATTATGTTCTCCTCCTGATTCTGGCTGTACAGAATAAGTACTCTTTTTTGACAGCTAAACAGGTAGGAGCAAATCCCTAGTATTTTGCCGCCCTGGGCTTGTTCTATAACACCAGTTCAAGCCAAATTTGTTCTTTTTAAAAGATGCTATGTTTGCCTGTACAAGGTTGAAGGCTCAGATACAGTACCTGTTGTGTGTTGCTACTCTTAGCTCTAATGAAATGGAAGTGCTGGCCACCCACCCAGAAAGAATGACATTAAATGTGCAGAACAGAGTCGTTAACCTTTGTGGCAAACATGGCCCCTTTTCCTGGTGCCAGAGTTGTAGTGGCTCTGTTTGGCACAGGCCTGCGGTGAGAGGGGATGGCTCAGCGGTGCTCGGTCTCTGTCAGTCTCTGCAGTGTACGTGCTCTGCCTGGCAATGGGAAGGAGGAGGCAGCGAGGTGGACTGCACTGCAGCACACTGCAGCACTCCCGGAACAAAGGCTTGCTGGGAAAACACAACTTGCGTCGCTGCTGTGTGCTGACCACAGTTCGGAGCTGGGGCCCTGAGACCGCATCTGTGTTACGAGTATTTCCTCATGTAACTGTCAGTCTCCGTCCCAGAGGCTTCGCGATTAACAGGACAACTGAACTATTAATGAGGCACTAATAATAAGTGATAATGTTTTGGCCTAGGAGAGAAAAAGCCATGGTGAGCTCACCTCTGAAATGAGGTTAGAGGGGGGGTGCTAGCTGTACTCCTTTGTCCCTGGCTCTTGAGCAACCAGGGTGGAGTGCTGCATTACAGCCCGTGGGAGCTGGCCGCAGGAAGCAGAGCTCCTGTCTACTGCCAAACCACAGCAGCCTCTTAGGGAGAAGGGGATGTCCTTAGCCAGTGGACCTGAGCTGTCTCTTATCAGTGGTCTGCAGTGTGGTCTTTGGTGCAGTACAGCAGAGATCCGTATCTCTCTAATACCCTCTAGCGTTGTGCCTTGCAGAGTGTAGTGTACAAGTACTCCCGCAACCTTCAGGGAGGACTCTGCATGTAACCAGGTCACTCAGAGGAGACTTTCTCTTTTAAAACTTGATCAGAGCTTGTTCATTTGGACGCACAGATACCTGTTACTGTTGGTGGGCTTTGCTCTGGGGTTATCAGTGCTCTACACCACCACATCATCTCCATGGATGTGTGAAACCAAACAGGATGAGGGTTGTCTTTTACCCACAGTTTATTATATATGCTCTTAGCATGATAACAAGATTCATTAAGTGTTCCCTATCCACAAAATTACCTTGCCCAGCTTCACATGAGTTGCATGAAACTTCCCCTGTATGGGCCCCAAGGCAGAAGGAGCCTTCTGTGTTTGCAGCCACTCGAGCTGCACTGACCAGCCCTAAGCACAAAAAGATTGCTTCAGGTGACATCAACAGCATCAGGTTGAGCAATGTCCTAATAACCTATCTGAATCTCCCTGCTCTTCAAGCATTAGTAGCTGTATCATAGTGCAGGTTACAATGCAAAGAGGAGAAAATAACTAATATAACCTTTAGACTTCTGCAGAGACCAGAGGGCTTAAGAGTTATGCTTTTCAGGGTGATGTTACTGGCTTATCAATGCCCATACTTTGTGATTTCTGGTAGTTCTCTTTCTGGCACTTGGCTGAAGCTGTTTACCGAGAAAAGGAGCCTGTCAGGGAAGGAGCAAGGCCCTTTTTAAAGGCTCCTTTTTTCTAAGCACAGAAGGAAGCAGAGGACACTTTTTCCTCCAGGTACCATTATTTGCATGGTTTTAGGAGGCAAGCCAAGATGAATTCAGGACTCTTGTAGAGTAGGGGGATTGACTCTAAAATGGAGAGTATTTTGGCAGATACAATTTTTTTTTCTGAAGTGCTGTTGGAATGCTTATATTTGCTTAGGTTTTACTTGGGTTTTCAAAGAAGTTCCATTACCGCAGTCCTTTGTTGTGTGGTTACAGCTAGAATCACGAGGGAACGGATCAGTCTTGTGCCTGCATTTTTAATTTTTCTGTCTGTTTTCTTTAAGAAAGTTCTCTGGAATTGCAGTCAAAGGGCTGCTGCAGGAACCTGAAGAGCTAGGATGCCGCAGGGCAAGTGTCCCTGTGCATTGCCAAGCAGAGCAAATCTCCTGTATGACTTCCAGGATAGCTGTTTGTGGCTTCCTGCAGTAGGCTGCCAAAACCTGAGCTTTCTTTCCATGCAAATATCTTTATTCTGGCTTTCTCCAACCTAGATAACCAGTTCAGGATGTCAATATTGGAGCGACTTGAGCAGATGGAGAGGAGAATGGCTGAAATGACAGGCTCCCAGCAGCACAAGCAAGGAGTAGGAGGCGGGAGCAATGGGAGTGGGAACGGAGGAACGCAGGTGCAGGTATGAACCCGGCTGTGTCCAGACATGGCAGCTTTATGCTTCCTTGCCAGAGTTTGTTTTGGAGGGGGGTTGGAAAGGATTACAGTTTTTCCTAAGCAACAAGTCTGGTTTGTGGGTGTCTTTAACAGCAGTCGGCTTCCACTCGCATTTGCCACTGTCTCAGTACTTCTAGAAGTGGAAGGCTGCCTGCTCAGGGCAGGTTGCAGCTCCCCTCAGTGGTTAAACTGGGATGTGTGTGGTGTTTCAGTGCGTTTCTGGGACTGGGACACTGGGCAGCTGCTTTGAGAGCCGCGTGGTGGTGGTGTGCGAGAAGATGATGAGTCGTGCTTGCTGGGCAAAGTCCAAACACTTGATCCATTCAAAGACTTTCCGAGGAATGACACTGCTCCACCTAGCCGCTGCCCAGGGCTATGCTACACTCATCCAGACCCTCATCAAATGGCGGTAAGATCTAGCCCGTTGGACTCTTGGGTGTCAATACAGGCATGGTAGAAGCATATGTAAGCTCTACTTGTCCAGATTTCTGATTGTGCCTTACAAACAGCCAGGTCCCTGAGCTTGTTCCTGTCCCCTGACCTGACAGGACCTGTCTCCTGAGAGAGCGAGTCCAATCGCTGGATGTATCATGCTCTTAGAGCTCTGGTGGGGGAATGGTCTGTAGTAAATATGCGTGTCACGGGCATATGCGTGGCCGCTTCTTTGTGGTATGGTGCACTGGGTAAAGCTGTGCATGGAGTCAGTGATCCTAACGTGGCTACAGAGCATCATTTGTTCTGTTGTTTCCTTTGCAGCACCAAACATGCAGACAGCATCGATCTGGAGCTGGAAGTTGACCCTTTGAATGTGGATCATTTCTCCTGCACTCCTCTGGTAAGGGCAGAGACTGAAACTTCTGAGAGAGTCTGAGGACCCTCTGGAGTTCTTCCTGATGTGTTGTTTCCCTGATGTCTTTCACACTCTGAAGAGCAGGTGTTGCTTGTGTGTCCTTGTTGTGTAAATGGTAAAACATGGCAGTATCAGCTCCCTGGCATTTTGTTGAGAGAGACCACACAGAAAAAACATTGTCACTGAGTAACTTGAGGAAAGGGGACAGACAGGTGGTTCTGGTTTGTGTTTTACCCCAAAACTAGTCTCCCCTATTGTGCTGGGGAAAGGATTTTAGATGCCTTCTCTCAAGTTGTTTTTTTTTTTTTTTAACCGATTGACTGTAGAAGTTGTAAAGTCATTACAATATCATGGTCATTGGAATCATGAAATAGTGACTGAGAACTTAGACAAGCAAAAATCCAAAGCAGGTGGAACCAGAAGTGCCAGTTTACAACAGCAGAGTGTTGATTTCATTGTTCACAACCTTTAGTCCTGTCTACGTGTTTCTGATCTCAGAGATTCCTTTGCATATGAGGCAGTTCCATCTCTTCGGTGATGCCAGTGTCCAAAAAAAAAAAAAGCCAAACCCAAAAAATGTATATTACTAAATAAGAAGCTGTCAAACTGTCAGCTTCATTTGACAGATGGAGTTTTCTCTGTCACGGGAGAGAATAGCATGCAGGTAATCCTCTGTAATGGCCTTTTGTCAGGATAGGACATTTATAAAAGCCAGTTGCTAGTGTTCAAGCACGTCATGATTTTGCTTATCGGAGTCATTTTTCTGTGAGCTGGGGACCAGACTCCACTGCGTTAGCAAGAAAGGAAGGAGAAGGCAGGTCGCCCAGTGGGTCAGTTGTCTCTTCTTTTTCAGATGTGGGCATGCGCCTTGGGGCACATGGATGCAGCCGTTGTGCTGTACAAGTGGGACCGCCGAGCCATCTCTATTCCTGACTCCCTTGGGAGACTGCCACTGGCCATCGCCCGGTCTCGGGGCCATGTGAAGTTGGCGGAGTGCTTGGAGCAGCTACAGCGAGATGAGCAAACTCAGCTTGGCCAAAACCCCAGGATTCAGTGCCCCTCGAGCACAGACTCCAACACAGAGAACTGGGTGTCCCAGTGGCACAGTGAGCTTATTGCCTCTCAGGAGCCTCAGAAGGGAGTCACTGTGATTTCCAGTACAAACACAGGTAAAACAACCCTGAGGGCACGCGCTGCTTTGCTGACATTTGACATGTGAAAACCTGGGGGCAAGCAGCTCACGTGGGCGGCAGATGCCATCTGTAGCCCTGCTGTCCATGCTTAATTCTTTTCTTGTGGGGGCTTTGTCATGTGCTCCATGCAGTTGCATAAGTAACAAGAAGAGGACTGAATGCCTGCTTTAGAAAGACGAGTATCTTAAGAGCAGTTGAGGTGGTATGTTCCCTGGGTGATAGTTACTCCCCTTCCACTTACTATTGGGCATCCTAGAGTATGGCACATACTTCTGCCTGCAGCTCTGTCACAGAAGCTGTTGTAGTTCTCACAGCAATCGTGGGTTGCATGTTTCGTTTTGACCGTTGATCTGTTTGTTTCCAGAGCTGAGACGACCAAGATCAGAACCTTCCAGTTACTACAGTAGTGAGACTCAGAAGGATTACCCTGCACCCAAAAAACATAAGCTGAGCCCTGAGTATTTTCAAGCCCGGCAAGAGAAGCTGCTTTCCACTGCACTGAGCCTGGAACAGCCGAGCATCAGGAAGCAGAACTCCAGCTCCAAGCAATCTGCCACTGAGACAATCAGCCCCAGTGAAGGGATAAGGGACTATGGCCGGGACCTCTCCCAGCCCATCCCAGAAGTTGCTGGGTACAGGGGCTCTGGCAGCCAAGCAGGCATCAAGTGGAACCCAAAAGACATTTATATTGGTGTGTCTGCAGTGCAGGTGGCAGGGAGCCAGAAGGGGGCTGCGCTGGGGAAGGACACTGTAGCCCATCGGCTACGCCAGCGAGAGCAGATGAACGTGCTGATGATGGCTGACAGGGAGATGGTGGATGCAGAGCTCTTGTCCTATAGGGACAATGCAGGGGACGAGGACTGCTTACACCACATGGATGACTTGCAGGTAAACGTACCTGTAGCACCACAGTCAGCAGTCTCAGAGAACGTGGTGGCTGCACAGAGGAGCCTAACTGTGAGAAACTTCTGTGGAGGCCTTTAGAGGCTCTGAATTGTGCTTTGTGAAAGGAGGTGGTCATACATTCAATGTGTACTTTGTTCTGGTTTCAAAGGGCGTCCTTTCAACCCGGACGCAAAGGCGAATGGTTAGCATTTAGGGTCATGCATGGGTGTACTCTTCAACAGTGTACAGAATGCACAAAATTGTTTGCAATTTTACAAGGAAAAAAGAAAAAGCAGAGCCTCCTGATCACGTTAGTAAATGAGGCTAAGGTAGCCCCATAGTCCTTTGGGAATGGGGACGCAGTCCCTACGAAGACAAGGTGACCCGAGAGAGGCAGCACTGGTTGCAGGCCAAGCTGCTGCACTTCAAAGGGCAAGGAGATGAGAGTGGAGAAGGGGAGAGACAGCGAGTTTGGGGAAGGAAAAATCCCACCAGGTATGCAACAGAAGCAGGACAGACAGATAAGAAGTTGTCACTGCGGGAAAGATACTGTGTTTGGTCTTCTGAGCAAAAAGAGTAATGGGAGCACAGCCTACATGCATTCCCTTGGCATCTCTGAATCTTCTCACCTTGCTGGCGTAACACGGATGAAGCAGATGTTTGCAAAACAAGAACTGTTTTCTGTTCTCTGTATTAAAAATTCCTGTGAACCTTGATGGGCAGGAGGATATCGTTCAGAAGGATTCCTGACAAAGCTCTGATCCCAAGGATTTTGACTTCTCTAGATGTGCCTTTATTGTCCTGTCATGCTCTACTGCACATCTCAGTGAAAGAGTGGCAAGATCGCTTTTCCTTTGGAAGCAAGATAGTAGGGAGAGCTGTCAGTAGCGTACAGCAAAGGTCTGATGACATAAACCTTTCACGAGATTTCTTAGGCTCCCCAGACACTTAATGAGAAAGAGGTCTGGGCAATATGAAAGCCCGTAGTGCTTTGTTAGAAGAGACAGAAAAGCAAATGAGCTTTGGGTAATGCATTTCTCTCCAATGCTGAGACAAGCAGTAGACTTCATTACCACACTTTGGGGAGAATGGGGCAGTCTGTCTGAAGCTGAGCTGTAACATGCAAGCACAAGGTTCCTGCTACCAGGCAGCAAAAGTTTGCTTTCCTCTCCCCCTTCCCAGGTGAACATGATGACACTTGCGGAGCACATTATTGAAGCTACGCCTGACAGGATCAAGCGGGAGAATTTTGTGCCAGTGGAGTCACCGCTGGTGGAGAGGACGGACAGTGCTACCATGAGCACCACAATGAGCTGGCTGGCCAGTTACCTTGCTGATGTCGATCATCTGCCAAGTGCTGCACAGATAAGGTCAGTAAGAGCTGGAAGAGACTCTGGGGTTTTGAGTGGTCTGAATGCTGGGCAGCATGCACTGATTCTTTAGCCTGCAGATGCCATTTCTCAGTGGGACTCAATGCTGGTGTGCCAAGCTCAGCCACAGTCTCATGGTCAAATGTATCATTGCCAGCACAGCTACAAATTCATGGAAGAATGGGAGTGCATGCAGCCTGGGAGGGGGAAGTGGCCCCAGGGTCTGACTCGTGACTTCTCTTCCAGTGCCAAGTCTGTGCAATGCAGTACAGGCAGGCTCAGGAATGTGGGATGTTGCTTGGAGAGAGGGAGGGGAGCATGAACTTCTGTCTTGAAATCAGAAATGTAGTCCTTATCTGTGATGCCAGCCCAGGTGCTTTGTGAGCCAATGATTCCTACTGTGATTGATATTTCAGAAGTCTGTATAGTGAACCCCTGACCCCTTCTTCGAACACCAGCTTGAGCCCTGCAGGCTCACCAGTCAGTGAAATAGCTTTTGAGAAACCCAGCCTTCCCTCGGCAGCAGATTGGTCTGAATTTCTGAGTGCATCCACCAGCGAGAAGGTAGAAAATGAGTTTGCACAGTTAACTCTGTCTGATCATGAGCAGAGAGAACTCTATGAAGCTGCCAAACTCGTCCAGACAGTGTTCAGGAAATACAAGGTATGTGGCCAAAACATCCGAAGTCTTCGTTGTTAGGTGTGAGAGTATAATTTGTTACAAAACAAAATGTGGGTAATACCCACTCCTGGGACAAAACTAGTTTCTCTCATAATGTTTTCAGTGCTTCTAGCATTTGCTTGATGTTTACCCAGCAGCTACCATACTGGAGAGAGCATGCATGCCATAGCGTGCCTTCTGTGCCAGAACAGCACTCTCAAAGCATATCCGCATATCCTCAAAGGATACTCCAGAGGTTCTGATTAGTTGCCTGCTTGGTGTAAAGATCAATGTTGAGGGTTTGTCCCTTACGTGAATTGACAGTAGAGACATCTCCAGGAAATGCCTAGACCTGAATCAGACCTGGTAGCACTGATAGAAGAGGTTTAGAAGTAGGTGCCCTGCAAGCTGCTGTGAGCCTCTTAAAGTCATCTGTCCTGGTTTTTGGTGTAGTCTGACTACTTACTGCTTCTTTCCTTCTCCATATAGGGTCGTCCCCTCCGGGAACAGCAAGAGGTGGCTGCCGCTGTTATTCAGCGTTGCTACCGAAAATACAAACAGGTAATCAAGGAAGTGAAATTTTGTCAAAAACACGTAAGTGCCGTGAACGCAGCCCTTTGTAGTGGGAATTATCCCCCTGTTCCTCTTGTATGCTTTTCAGCATGCAGTAATGAAGTACTCTGCAAAATTGAAAGGGGCAGAAATTTCATGTCCTGAATCTTAATTTTGGAGGGAAGCCTTGAAAGGATTTTGTTTGTGATGATACCTGCATTTTTGCTGTGAGATAGAGGGCAATGATGTATTCCATATTGGCGTTTACGCATGCTGTGTAGCCTGCTGAGACTATTCTCTGACTAGTTGCTTGCCAAATTTCATTGTGAAATTGAAGTTGGTTTCGCCTTTGATAAAGGCAAAGATGAAAAGTAGGTTGTTTTATTTTGCCCATGCTAAACTTATGAACTATAGGAAGTCAAAGGTTGTAGCTTGATGTGAGTTATTCCAGGACTGAGACTGTTCTCCAGACTCTAGTTGGAGACATGCTTTTAGGCTGAGTTCTCAACCCCAGAAAAAGAAGATACTTTTTCCTTTTTGGTTTTTCGTTGGGTTTTTTGGTTTTTGTTTTTTTGTGAGGGCTAGAGGCCACGTCCCTCTTTTCACTATACCCTGCTAGACAGAAGCTGTCTGATGCCTGGCAGCATGTTACGTAAAGTGAAAAGCAAGATGCCTGTGCTCTTTTACAACCTTCAAAAACATTTATTTGGGAAGCCTTTCTAGTGTTAGGTGACTGCATCATGATTCACATCCAACCCGTCACATGGATGTCATTCTGGAGTGATGCTTCCTGTAATAAGGAAGCTTCATTCCTTTCAAAAACTGCTTTGTCTTGGATCCTGGAATTGCTTCTTTTTGAAAGAAGATGGTTTGGGTTGTTTTTTTTTTTTTTCCATTCTTTATTTGCAGAACTAACATTAACTGTATTTTTCTGTTTCTCCCTAAGCTTACTTGGATAGCCTTGAAGGTAATACAAATACAAACACTGTTTTGGAAACAAGTCCATATTCAATCAACTTTCATATTCAATACAAACCAGGAGAACCTGGCGTTTAGAGAAATGTTTTAATAGTATCCACTGATAAATACCTGTGGTTGAGAAATCACTGGCAAACCAAACCTTATGGGAGATACACAGGGGCTGGCGTGCCATAGCCTAGCAATGTAGTAGTACAACTGGGGGGGGGGAGGAGAAAAGAAAAAAGAAGTCTCCTGCTTCTACAGGTGCTCATATAAGCAGTGGTGGGCTGAGGTGTGGGGAAGGTTTTTAAGCCCATTTCCTGACGGCAAGCTTTCCTTTGTGGCTGCTGATTAGCTGTCACTCAGTGATCTTTGCCTTGGCATTCGGGGAGCAGAGGAGAATGTTCATCCCACCCGTGCAACAGATGTCCGCTGCATTCTGCCTGCCTGCTGAAGTATTGTGAACGTTCATCTTTGAAATACCCGTGCCCTGAGTTCCTAAGACCACCATCTCATGTACGCTGCTGCTCATACTGGAGGCATGACTGTTGATGCCAGTCTTAAACTGGTCATGGCCAGTAGTTTTCTACTGTAAAGACGAATTTCCTAGCTGTGCAATGCCTTGCTCTCATCAGATACTAGAATCAGCTGAGCTTGTCTCAGAGCTGCCCAGCAGGCAAGGCGTGCTCTTCCTGGAGAGAATGTGTCCTCAGGGTAATCTTCGTCCTCAGCTTCCTCCTGCACCATGATTTTGTATCAGTCAAAGTACTGTTCTGTCAGCGCAAGTGAGCGGAGCTTTCTGGGGCCACGGCACTAGCTGAGGCTTACCACTTCACAGAGATTAGGTGGCTGCTCTGTGTATCCTCTTTCCAGCTGGAGGGAAAAAGAGGAGGAGAGGGAGCAGCTAATTAGCTAAGGGTGTCTTAGAGTTGAAGCAAACATACTGGCGTCTAGTCTATCCAGTGACTGCTATTTTCTCTTTCACGTGCCTTATTCCTCTATTGTTACTGTACTGCTGAGATCAGCACAGGCTTATGACTAGATTTGAAAGTCAGAGCTCACATCATGGTTTTGTATTTGAACCCTTCTATTCAGGGGTTTGTAACTCAGCCACGAAGTCCCATCAGGGCTAAAAATTTGAAGGAAAATCATGACCAGCCCATGAGTGGACTTATTTTAAGTAGCTAGCTTAAAACCACAATCTGATCCATTTAATTAAAAATGTTAAAAAGAAAAAAAACAAAGAAAACAAAAGCCAATGGAAATGAATAATGGCAAAATATAACTGCATTTAATGACTGCTTCAATTCCAAAAAGTGAAATTTGGTAAATGGTGGTCTGTGATGATATCGGAGGGTTTTTTTGCTTTGGGATCATGTTGGCGGGGGGGTTGTTTGTTTGCTTTTTGGTGTTTTTTTCCCCAGCAGACAGAAAACTGAGATATGTTAGGACATTACACTATTCAGGGCAGTGGCTGCTATTTCTGTGTCTCACCTGTCTGATAAAGTGAGCAGAAGAGTCATAGCTGGAACAACAGACACATAAGTTTTGAAAGTGTTAAAACTTTCAAAAAAAGATCAGTAAATACTGAAAGCCTCTGTCATAGTATAAGTTCAGAGGTATGGGTGCAACTTCTGTATGTTATTCTACATCTCTTATCTTAAGAAGGACTTTTAAAAATATGCATGAGTGCATATGATTTCTGTTAAGTGGCCGTCTACTTGTGTACTTTGAAAGGAAAAGGATGTTGCATGAACAAGATTTTATTTTTTAAGAGTTTGTTCCTGCTTTATTTGGACTCATGGGGCTAGAAATAATACAGTGCTAGAGGGAATTTTGGATGTGTGTGACTGCTCATGCAAATTTGCAAGTTCAGTGGATGCTTGTTACAGACTTCTAGTGAGGTTTAGTTTGCCTGTGACTTAAGCTCAGTACTAGACTTGCTTGATTAACTGTTGTGGGTTTTGGGTTTTGTTTGTTTTTGTTTTTTAAGTTAGAATCATGTTATTCCATTTGAAATGCTTGGATTTAAATGGATATATAAGCAATCAAAACTTTTTCAGTGTTGTGCTATGGCATAGAAACAAGAAATGTGCTGTTTAAAAGTTAAATGTCCTGGAAGAGTGGAATACACTTGTGAGCAGGAAATTCGGTCCTTACAAAAGTAATTTGTTTAAAAGAGGTTTTTAATTGAAGACACAAAAAAAAAGTGTGTTTTGGTTTTAGTTAATTTGTTAGGGTTTTGGAATAGGCATTCACACCATTTTGTCCTTATCATCACTTAGTTGGGCATATTTTGCTGCTGCTGTTATGAGTCTTTACAAACAATGGCTGCATAGCAATGGGCATCCTGTACTTTGTAAGGAGAGTTCTGTATGCAAGGGAAACAAACAGTTCCTCTAAGTGTGGGCAATTGATTTCTCTCTAACTCAGACCCACTGCAGTACGTGTATGAAGCAGTGTAAACATGACTCGGGATCAGCTCCAGTTCCAAAGTTGTTCATAAGTATAGTAGAGCTGGGTCTGGTCATTAGCATGTACATGTAGAACCTCTGCTAGCTAGGTATTAAATAAAACCTCAGAGGGATGGAGCAGCTCCGCTGAGAGGACAGGCTGGGAGAGCTGGGGTTGTTCAGCCTGGAGAAGAGAAGGCTTCAGGGAGACCTCAGAGCGGCCTTCAGTGCTGAAAGGGGGCTACGAGACAGCTGGGGAGGGGCTCTTGATCGGGGGTGTGGTGATGGGACAAGGGGTAACGGTTTCAAACTGAAAGAGGGAGATTTAGATTAGATATCAGGAAGAAATTTTTTACAGTGAGGGTAGCGAAACATCGGCACAGGCTGCTCAGAGAGGTGGTAGAAGCCCCATCACTGGAAACATTCAAGGTCAGGCTGGATGGGGCTCTGAGCAACCTGATCTAATTGAAGATGTACCTGCTCACTGCAGGGGGGTTGGGCTAGGTGACCTTTAAAGGTCCCTTCCAACTCAAACTATTCTATGATTCTGAATCCTGTCAAACTATGCCAGGGGCAGCAAAACAGGTGGTTGCTTTCTTGATGCAGACTAGGTTCTGCACCTAATCTCACAGTTGTTCCAGTTTGTTGTCACCCTTTTTCTCATACAGTTCCCAATCAGCAAGTAGATACTCATTTGCTTCTCATCATGTCTTAGTGGCACAAGTCTTTCACCATAGGAACCTGCTTCTTGCTGGTTTTATTGGAATGCCTCAGCTTCCCTCTGTTTCTCTTGTAGTATGCACTTTATAAAAAGATGACACAAGCTGCCATTCTTATCCAGAGCAAATTCCGAAGTTATTATGAGCAGAAAAAATTCCAGCAGAGCCGACGAGCCGCGATGCTGATCCAGCAGTACTATCGCAGCTACAAAGAATGTGGGAAGAGGAGGCAAAACCGTCGGGCAGCCACCATTGTACAACAGAAACTCAGGTGAGCTCTTGGGATGCTAGAGGCTACCAGGATCTTTATGTATCGTTTTTATGTTCATCAGGGCTGTGCTGTAGTTTACAGACAAAGGCCAGTGGTTCAGCGTTTAGTAGTATTCTCCTCAGTTTTGCCTACACTCCAGTGTTGGGTTTTTTTTTGTGTTTAGAAGCAGTCTGCTTACCAAGAAGCAGGATCAAGCTGCTCGCAAGATTATGCGGTTTTTACGACGCTGCCGCCACAGGTATGACGCTGTCTTTTGGCATCTGCCCTTCATTAGAGCAATGTAACAGTATTCAAGTGTGTCAGCAACGAGTGCAATGTAAAGGACAATAGAATCAGCTTGCTACAGATCTTTTGATCATGTAATGAATCCCAGCTGATTCCAAGGTATACCAACAAAAACGAAATCTCTAACTTTGGACTGTTGCTGAAAGAGAATCATGTTCAGCTCCTTTGCTGATAAAGCAGCACAGATTGTGTTGGGCAGACACAGAATAAGGAAACTTTGAGCAAAGCAAGGCACATGACTTTAAAAGTTGGACTTGAGGAAGTCTGATAAAAAGCTTACTGAATCCGCTACAGCTTGTAAGTGCTGCACGAAGCATTCCTGGTATGTGGAAAAGTGCAAAATGTGACATCTGGCGGTACACTGGAAATGCCTTTAGTTTGGTCACAAGATCATTTAGTAAACTCTCATCAAATACAGAGGGTTTTTTTAATGTGAATAGGTGGAATGTGCCAAGAGAGCAGCAGACAAGTTCATTCACATCAGCCACTCCACACATACCCTCAGTAAGCTGGGAGTACAGACACAGACATGAAGATGAATCATCTCCTGCCAGTGTGGGAACCTGTGCAGGCTTGCCGGAGCGCTCACGCATGGCAGCTAGCGCTACCAAACCAGTGCTCTGCTACACGCAGGGCATTTGTTTGATTTTTCAGTAAAGGATCCCGTATATGATCAGGTTGCAAGCTGGAACTTTGGCTAGACAAAAGTGAATTCAGATGTTTCTGACTCTGCTCCCTCCATTCTCACCACACATGCATTTCATCCACTCAGGAGCTGGTCAGATCTGATGCATTTTGAAGCATGTCTAGTTCAGCCCAGTGATGTTTGAACAAGGAGAGCTCTGAGATGCATGTGATAAACTTGATTTTAGAAACATTAAAATCCTTTTTGTAGGATTTCAGCAGATCAGCGTGGCTCATGTTGTGGAAGGACATCTTACCCGCAGGTTCAATGCAAAGTAACATGTGTGGACAAGAAAGAGGGCTTCCCAGCCAATTCCAAATGCACTTGAAACAGCCACAGTTGTTAGAGTTTTTCAGGAAGAAGCACAAGTGGCTTCTTTCTCTCAGCAGGGTATGCAGAAGAGACCAACAGGTTTGTTTTGTTGTGTTGGTTAGGCAGCATGTCCCGCTGAAGCAGGCAGAAGCTCAGAACTTCTGTATTCTCTCAGAATTGCTTGAGATCCAGGCAGTCCCTGAGGAGGCCACGTGCCCATTTTCCATCTGTCCTGGTTTCGGCTGGGATAGAGACACCCTCCGTGGAGGCTCTGGGGTCAACCTGACAGGGTCTTACAGCCGGCGCTCACACACAAGCCCAGAGAATACCTCGCAACTGGCTGTGTCGCTGGGCCTCTTGCCAACGTCCAGGATGTGCCATGCACTTCAACCACGCTCAGTTAAGTCTCCGGCTGTTGAGTAACCTAGACTCTCCAGGGCTTAAACTGCCCATGATTCCAGCAGTTCTTCTTGCCTTCAGCTCATTGCTTTCCTCTTTCTCAGCGTCTCTTGTTCCTTTGTAGAGCGAGACCCTACGTATTTGCATCACTGAAGTCTGCAGGCGGGACCCTTCCCTTTGCCAGTAGTCAGTCTGCTCTCTCTTCAGCAGTGTGGTCGCTGCTGCTGTGCATCTCTGGGGGACAGGTTTAGATCTTGGGTGTTTATAGACAGGAAATAAAAGTGAAGCAGCGGGATGGGGGGATCCGTTGTCAGTAGGCTCCCTCTGACTTACATCACACTGCACAGTACTTGAACTTCTACAACAGTGCAGTGCTGTCTGTGTCCACAGGCACTTTGTTAGCAATTGTGGTTAGTTAGGAATTCGTGCATCATCTTGGCTAGGATGCAACAGAAGGAAAAGGTAACTTATTTCTGCTGAATTGCTAACTGTGTTTCAAAACTGCCTTGCTTTTATTTCTGAAATAAAGTCGATTGCACGTTCATGGTCGTGTATGTTCTCCAAGCAATCGTAAGAGCTTAAAGCTGTGTTAGTGTAACTAATATTGATAATTGACACAAATTTGAACCAGGAGCATTCTGGCATTGGCAAATGCCAAAAATGAAAGCAAGACTTACCAACATGACAAAACCAGCATTTAGACTGTGCTTGAAAAAGTTGTGAAGTTACCAGCCTGCTAGATTT